TGTTTTTTGTGCTCATTCTTCATGTTTATTTTTTCAAGACATTTATTGAAATATATAGTTACAAAAGCATTGCGGCATGTAAGCACGGTCCATAAGCTTGTAGGAAATGGCGCTGTATTATTTTATTTAAGTCCAGCTCCGTGTTCCGTCTATGAAAATGCTTAAAACAACAAAAAAATAATTAATATTGTGCCATTTAAAAATCGGAGGAGGTATTTACCTTTTATAATTAAATAAGTGGAGTATAGTTAAGTTTTCGGTTTGCCCAGAGTTTCTCGCCAAGTAATTCCTTTTGCTTTCGCAGGACAGCCTTGTACACGCTTAAATCTGGATTTATCCAATCACTTTAATTTTTGATGTAAATAAATATTGTATTTTATTTATATTCCACCGGTATGTAATATGTAAAAAATAACGGGTTCACTCCGCATTTCATCACAAACACAGAAATTTAGAATAAATCGCACTGATCACAAAGAAATCTCGAAACGAACTGACGCTCGAATTCAAAATACAAAGTGCGTAGGTCAAAGAGAAAAAGGGTAGTTTTCAGGTATAAAGATAGAGCCAAGAGCGGACTGTACCCCAAAGACTTCAAAAAAATAAAACCAAATTCGTTTCTATCTTCAATTTAACTTCCAGAAGTGAATTGGAAGATGTTTTTTTCCCATTGGTTTTGTTTTTGTAAAATGTGTTCTATCTCCTTTTCATCGCCCAAAAGTGTCTCAGAAGATACTTCTTCGCGATCGCAAGCCTTTTTAGGTAGTCAAATGTGAGCTATCGCCATTCTATCGTCCAGAAGTGCCTCAGAAGTTACTTCTTCACGATTTGAACCCTTTTTAGGTAGTCAAATGTGTTTTATCGCCATTCTATCGCCCAGAAGTGCCTCAGAAGTTACTTCCTCGCGATTTGAACCCTTTTTGTTTTTGTAAAATGTGTTCTATCGTCTTTCTATCGCCTAGAAGTGTCTTGGAAGTTACTTCTCCACGATCGTGACCCTTTTTGTTTTTGTAAAATGTGTTCTATCGTATTTTAATCGTCCAGAAGTGACCAAGAAGTGACTTCTTCGCGATAGATGTATATTTTGTTTTTGTAAAATGTGTTCTGTCGTGTTTCTATCTTCCAGAAGTTACTAAGAAGTGACTTCTGGACGATAGGCGATGGAAATATCGCCCGTTTGCTTGCAGGGAGGGAGTAATTTGCACTGGGCAGCTCATCGATGTGTGTGTGCAGACCGCTGTTCTACGTTATACGTGTGCGAGCAGCGCGCCGGCAGAACAAAACCCTATGCTCACTTAATAGGGCGTTGCCGACCGCTGATATAAAGCCTAGTACTCAGTACGACGAAAACTGCTAGCTAAGCATAGGAGTAAGCGAGAGGCAAATAGGTAGCTAAAGTCTTTAGCTGGGACTTTTTTCCACCGCGGTACTCAGTTGAGCTAAGGGGCTGTCCATATATTACGTAATCACAATTTCGGCAATTTTTGACCCCCCCCCCATGTAATCATTTCATCATACAGAAAAAAAAATTTGCACTAGAGTAATCATTTCATAATTGATGGTTGAAAACCTCGATATATCGCTGAAACCATCGAAAATTTGTTTAATTTTTTAAAATTGATCAAATTGCTAATAAAATTAGCGGTGAACGACCGCGATCGTCCCATGAATGATCTGATCGTTTGTGATCGTACGGCTTAATGATTTTTCCCGTTTGTGGTCGAATAATTTATGCAATCGGTTGGTATGATCGTGCGTCTTCGCGCTTACCACTGTGACCAGTGTGATCGTGCACTCGTCAGCTTTCATGCCACGGTAATGTTTATTAAATTATAAGCACTCGTCATGTATGTCGATCTAATTATTAAAAACTAAACTATTTGTACATTAAAACTAAACTATTGAGTGTCAAAAATTTCTCGATACTCTACATATTAACCTAACAACTTCGAATGTATAAAAATGAAACTTTCGAAGTTGTCAAGTTTGAACTAACGAGTATACAGTTTATACTCACTCAGTGTACTGAAATTTAGGCTGCTAGTTTATGTTGTATACTTTTTAGTATAATGCCAGTATAAATATTATACCCCGTATTAAAGAGACAAAATTCAAAAATTGTTGTTTTTTACTTTCATATATTATTAAAAATATTTTTTACATTTTTATAAATTACTGAAGGTAATTTTTAATTTAACAAACATACATAAATACAATACATGTACACTAGGGTGGACTTTTTTAAGGTCAACTGAGCTCAGCATCTTGAATGGTAGGTTTCTGTGTCCAATAAATTTATGCGAAAACCGAAAAATTTTATATCATCGTTTGGGCGGTGCGTAATGGCCCTAAAGTTTCGCTAAAAATTAAGTGTAAAACTAGGATTTTACACCATTCCATTTCTTGTCAGATTTTAACATGTCAACTTTTGGTTTCGCTCGAGTAAAAGAGTCAAGCAGAAATTTATTTCATGAATATTAACAGTTGGATGTAGCCTAGCCTGTAGAGCTTCTGTCTCCCAACAAAAAGAACCGAGTTCGATCCCCGACCCACCATTTTTTTTTGTGACTCACAATAAAATAGATATTCTATTTTACAATTTTGAAGATTAACTATTACTTTTGCGTTTGTCAATAAAAATTTTCGTCAAATAAATGCTGGCTTGGGATACAATGATATTAACTATTAGTTTTCAGGGACCGTAATAGTTATAAGTTGTACTCTAAAATTCATTGATTATTCGCAGGGAACGAAAATAACTGTTATTGTAAATTTTTCATACAAAAAAATCACGCACTTAGAAGGGCCCTAAAAATTTTTTAAATACACCACAATTTGTATTAGCCATTGTAGTTTACAAATCCGTAATGATTTTTATTTTTTGATTTTTATAACAAAACTCAAAAAATAACTGTTATTTTTTGATTTTTATGAATAACAGTTATTCCCTTGACATTTTTGAAAAAATGAAATAATTAAAAAAAACATGATACCCGTGCTTTTTATAACTTACTAAAAATTTGTTAAAAAAGGCAACCGCGCATATTTTATACCTATAGTTTTTTAAAATTTTGTTTACCCACAAAATCGCCATAAATCAAGTTTGAGTTTTATTTTTGATCACGACGAATAACTGTTATTTGTCAACTTTTATTATAAAACTCAAAAAATAACAGTTATTCTTTGAGCTTTACTTTACAAATTAGAAAATAACTGTTAAAGTGTGATTTTTAAAATAAAACTTATAAAAGTTACGTTCCCTGATTATTCGTTGTTATTCAGTATTTTTAACTTGTAATTGTCTCCCAACTAGCTCGGGAAAGTGATTAAGATACTTTTTAAAGTACTGTCAAAGTATAAAATCAATTCTACGGCGTCTAGATGAATCTGAAAAATGCGTAATAAACTTTAAAGCCGTTGCGCACCGACTAAAACTAATTATTTTTTACTTTTTCTTTCTTTTATGGGTTAAGGATACAAAAAGGCCATATACTTCCGTAAAATGGAAGAATTTACTCATAAATTATGCACTAAGACACAATTTAAATATACTTACATTTCAAATAAGCCCAAAATAAGCAAATATTAAAATTTTTTACAAGTAATTTTTACAAACATAAACATAAACAGACCGCAGCGTCGTTTAAAAAATACACTAATGTCAGACCCTTAAAGTACTAACGCGTTGAATAACATTAAAAAGCAGTAACACTTTTTCTGTTCGAAATGTCCAGGTTTCTAACCAGAGCATCCTGGCTTCACACCAGGAACGAAAATCGATACTTCGGTATAGAAATTAAACTCAGGGCATAAACTTAACACTATTTAGTCTTAACTTAACACTATTGGGTCTGCCCCTTACATTATTCAGTTTTGAATTAATACTGACAGTTTAATAATAGCTGTAGTATACTTTTAATACAACGCTCATTAAATGTAAACTTTTCGTTTTTTTTTTTGTGTACCCTTGCAGAGGGTATTAGTCAGAAGTTTGCAACGCAGTGAAGGAGTTTATAAAAAATGTGTGCCATAGTATGTAAACATAGAAGGACCTAAAATCGTTTTCTTTAGTTAATAACACTGTGCAGCATTTTTAGTGCTTTTTAAATTTACCTCGATGGATGCTATATTTTTGGATTCGTTACGAATTCCCAAGTTAAACTGCGTTTTCCAAAAAGTGCCCCGACGCAAGAATTCTTAGCAAAAGGACCTCAAAGTTTGAAAAATGCTGAAATTTCCCAATTTTGCGGAGTTCTCAGAGGCAAATGGATGCATGATTTGATTCGATGTTAAAGTTTTTTAAAAGATACACTCTTTATCTTTCAAACCCCATACTTAGAATAATTTTAGGATTTTTTTCAGCTAAGAGTTTTACTAGTCGAAAAATATTAATCTTTTAATGAGACCGAAGTTTTCGGAGTTCATCCGCAATGCATGTAGCACGGTCTTACTCTTAGCAAACAAATTAACTGGCGCCAATTTTAAAATATTACAAAACGTTGAGCCGACCTGGGTCGCGAGCTTTAAATTCGCTATTGGAATGGCAATATGTATTGCAGCAACTCCTACAGGCAGTTTTCCATTGGTTTTTGTGGTTTTCCTTCCATTTATATGTTATTGGCACACCGATTCTGCACAAACACAGCCAAAGATTAAATTTTTTATTCTTTGGGCCGCGGCTAAAGGCGTTCATCGGAATTCATCCGCTAAATCTAGTATTTTTTTGGTATTTCCTTACTGTTTCCTTAGCTCAACTGAGTACCGAGGTGGAAAAAAGTCCCCGGCTAAAGGCCTTAGCTACCTATTTGCCTCTCGCTTACTCCTATGCTTAGCTAGCAGTTTTCGTCGTACTGAGTACTAGGCTTTAAACGAAAATTCATGTATACATCGATGGTTGAAACCCTACATCGATGTATCGCCGTTTTTAAAAACATAGATAATATCGAAAGATACATCGATGGTTTTGCATCTCTAATCTACCATCCGATTACAGCTGATCTGAACAGCTGTGGCTCATAAAAACATAAACAAAGGTTGTTGAAGTACGAGATTATAATGAACAATTTCCAAACTATTTTGGCTGTTGTTCAACAGCAGAACCTTAATTTGCTACAGCTTTTTAAGGCAGTCAATTCGGAGGAGTGGAATGATGACGAATTGGAGCTGTACGAAGGCATTTTTTCAACAAAATATCAAATACCAAGACGTGTGTGGATGGTGGTAAGTGCCGTCGAATTCTATTAAAAATAAAGTTATAGAATGCGTTTTATAAACAGAAGCGATACGGGACATTTTGGGAAAAGGATATACCCGAAAACAACGACGAGTTTTTCAAAGAGAGCTTTCGAATGGAGAAAAGGACATTTCGTTTTTGGTGGATCGGCTTGGAGTTTTGACGAAAAAGGATACAAACTGGCGAAATGCAATTCCCCTGGAAAAGAGGATCGCTATTGCCCTGTACACCTTGGGATCATCCTCGGAATATCGTGCTGTTGGAAGGCTTTTCGGAGTTGCACAAAACACGGTGTGCGAAATTCTCCACGAATTTTTCCGGGCTCTCATATTGGAGCTCGGAAGTGAGTTTATGTCTCCCGACTACTTAACTCCAGAAAAAGTAAACGAATGTGTCAAGGGGTTCGAAGCTATTGGGTTTCCACAGTGTCTAGGAGCAATTGGTAAGACATTACTTCATCAATTTAGTTCATGGCTATAACAATATACATTTTTTATATGGGTGCCACATTGAAATTAAACCGACAGCTGCAGAAGCTGTCGAAGAATCGATCATCACAATTATAAGGGTTGGTACTCAATTGTACTATTCGCTCTCGTGGATTACAGGTAAATTACCTTTTTTTAAGTGCTTAACAGTCTTCTTATATTTTATATGTACTACAGATACAGGTTCACCTACGTAAACATCGGATCTGCAGGGCGATGTTTTTTCTTCAGGAGAAAACCAGGGAAATTTGCGGCGTAGAAGTTCCGGTGCTGCTTATTGGGGACTCGGCCTTTCGATTCTCGCAAACGCTGATGAAACCGTACCCATTTTCCACAACTGCTTCCGAGGAGCAGCGGAATTTTAACTACAATCTCTCTAAAGCTAGGCGAGTTGTAGAAAATGCATTCGGCCATTTAAAGGCAAGGTTTCGGTTTATTGGAAAATGACAGGACAGTCATTATAAGAACAATAATGCAGTCATTCTAGCCTGCTGCATTTTGCATAATATTTTAAATGAGCACAACAGCACTATTAATGACAATTGGCAACCGACTGCAAGTGACCTACGCGAACAACCATTGCGTACTAATATGTCTGCAGATTTCAGCCAGCCTGCTAAAAGAGTAAGATCAGCTATCGCCCAATATTGTCAAAATATAAATAAATAAAGTTCATGAAATACAAATATGTTTGATTTTGTTTTATTCTAATTTTATTAGCTATTTCTGATTGTTTTAGTTGTTGTTTTGACGCCTTAAGAGCTCCAACAAATCAGCCTGGCACCGAGCTTGGCTCTCTGCCATTCTAGACATTATTTCGGTCTGCGCTCGCTGCTCCTCCAGCCTTTCCTGAGCGTTGGCTTCCGCTACAGATGGAGGCTTCATTGTCCTCGGGGTCCACCTCCAATGTCTCCACAAAGAATTCATTCCGGTATGCAGTAAAGACAAAAGATTAGTTATTCGAAAACTATAAATTAAGTCTGGGGACATACTCTCGTTCTCCAAGTTGGACTTCTCAGTGTTGTGGATGCGGAAAGAGTGAAGGGACCTACGTTTCATATCTTTTTTTTTTTTTGGGTGTACATTAACGCTTCCTTCTCCCTGTTACATACTTTTTCACGAATACAATATACCCTTTTACTCCACGAGTAACGGGTATAAAAACCGTATATCGAGAGTAAGTAAAAGCGGCTAGAGTGAGTACATAGTCAAATTTCATTCGCACATTTCTTTTATCCTTGCAGAGGGTATTATGATTTCAGTCAGAACTTTGCAATGCAGTGAAGGAGACGTTTCCGACCCCATAAAGTATATATATTCTTGATCAGCATCACAGACGAGTCGATCTAGCCATGTCCGTCTGTCTGTTTCTACGCAAACTAGTCTCTTAGTTTTTGAGCTATCGGGATGAAACTTTCCCAAAAGTCTTCTTTCTATTGCAGGTAGTATATATGTCGGAACCGACCGGATCGGACAACTATATCTTATAGCTCCCATAGGAAGGACCGGAAAAGAAATTCTAGCTTCGGTGTTTTTTGAAATATTACCTTCTACTTTTGGGGATGTTATTTTTTAAATATTTCTGAATTTCGAATTAAATATTTAAAAAATCAGACTACTATATCATATAGCTGCCATAGGAACGATCGGAAAATTAATGGAAAAGTAATAGGAAATAAATTCTAACTTCTTTGGTTTTTATTGTATTATCTTCTACTCTAGAATATGACTCTTTTTAAATATTTCCGAATTTCAATTTTAATTTGATCAAAATCGGATGACTATGTCATATAGCTGCCATAGGAACGGTCGGAAAATTAATGAGAAATATTAGAAAATTGAACATTTTTTCGATTTGTTAATTAATAGGAATGATCTGCAAGGGTATATAAGCTTCGGCTGGCCGAAGCTAGCTTCCTTTCTTGTTTCATATGCATCGAGGCACAAATAACTGTGCGCATAGAAAGAGAAGTACAAAGGTTATAAATTCATAACACTCACACAGGGGTGTCACAGAAATCTCTTCCAACCGAAGACGGTTGGATTTTGCATTGATGCACGTAAGAACTTTAACGGATTTCGGTTGGAAATAATTTCTGTGACACGCCCGACAGAGTCTCTACCATTTACTGTCCTCTATTCTTCATTTGCATTGCCACATTTTTGACGGTTTCTAAATCCCCCGTATTTTGCCGGACGTTTTGATAAAATTACCCAACTTACAAATGTTTCCCAAAAATAAACCTTTATTTAAGACAACTCTAATAATTTTTATGAACTACATGCATACTACGATTTGTATACCTACTTCGGGTTATATTTAAAAATATGCTATTAATAAAACCTCTCGAAAAAATTAGCTAAAATCTAGAAAGGAAGTTAACTTCGGCCAGCCGAAGTTTATATACCCTTGCAGATATGCCTACTTAAAATGTTGTTTTAACATTGTCAAAAATCAAAACGCCTACTTTCTACAAAGGTACAATGGTTTTTCTATTAATTTTTTTGAAAATTCGTATGGGAGCCATAAGATATAGTGGTCCGATCCGGCTCATTCCGACATATGTACTACCTGCAATAGAAAGAAGATTTTTGGGAAAGTTTCATCGGGATAGCTTTAAAACTGAGGAAACGGACAGACGGACCGACGGACAGAAGGACAGACGGACATGGCTAGATGGACTCGGCTATTGATGCTGATCAAGAATATATACTTTATGTGGTCGGAAACGTCTCCTTCACTGCGTTGCAAACTTCTGACTGAAATCATAATACCCTCTGCAAGGGAATAAAAAAATCTGTCAGCAAACCGTCTACCTGACAGTGTTACCAATTAGCTAGAACTTTAAAATACCAAATATGTTCAGCTTTCGGAGTTAGTTATCGAAATGTTGTGTTAACGAATTTTTTATTCAAAGGTAGTTAAAAATGAAACTTATTTCTGGTAAACATTTCATGGTAAAAGAAGGTGTAGTTATTGAGAAATTAATAAAAACAGGCCGCCTTTTGTCTTTTTGTCTGCGTCCTAGCCTCTCGCAGTTTATGCCTTCGCAAGTACTCTAGAGCAGACGGCATTTTGGTTCGCTTTTAAAATTCTTTCCAACTTCAAAATAAAAATAAATCAACGCAGCCGCGGCAAACCGCTGTTCAGGGCTGCAATAGCCTGGCGGGTAATTCAAATTTTTAATTTTTTTCTTTTATTATGTACAATATGCGCTTTAAACATATATTCTTTTTGTAATTTTGCAAGAAATAATTAATTTTAAGTTAGCGTCGAAAACAGGAAGCACCCGATGGCCATTGGGGGTATTTTCCCATACAGCTGAACTGTTGGGCGAATATCTCGAAAACTGACAATAATCACTATGGACGGCAGTCCATGTAGTGACGAAGCGCACCAGGAGAGTGTGCGAAGGCGACTACTATATATACACGAAGAAATGAAAATCTACTGTGATGGTCCGATCATAATGAATGATACACCTATCGAAAGGTATTGCGAAGACTAACAGGATTGCATACCAAGACTCTACGAAAATCAATTGGCTTGGGAGAGAGAGCGGTGAAAGTGAAAAAGTGAAAATTTCGAAACTTGGAGCTTTTGGGGCTGGTGGGGATAAATGCCCCCTCGCAATGTTTTAGTTGTATTCCTTTTGAAAATACCCGTCGAATGAGGGGTCACTTGTCAAAATCCGACGCTCCGTTCAAAAGTTATAGCCAAAATAAGATTTTCTTCTTCTTCCCAAAATGAAAATTTAATTCTGTTTGTCAGTTTGTCCAAAATATGTTTTTTAAGTTCTGAAAATTTGATATGACGTTCATCACATCGATATAAAAAACTTTTGTTCTACCACTTTTGGAAAAACCCGCTAGTTTAGCGGGAAAACAGCTATAAATAGCTAAAATTCGGAAAGCCGTAACTTCTATACTACTAAAGCTACAGACTTGTGCTGCATCTCGTTTGAAAGGTATTTTTAAATGCTATAAACGCCTAATAGTTAAAAAGATATGAACAAAAGAAAATTTGTTTAAACTTTTTTTTTAGCTTTTTTTTAATTTTCTCAAAAACGGCTCTAACGATTTTCCCTACAACTTTAAACTGTATAATCCATGCAAAACTAGATTTATGGTGGATTTTTAAAGTTCGGATTTTTTCACTTTTTTCGGTTGACAGAGTCCAAGTTTAAGTTTTATCATAGGCGGCGACATGTAAACAAAAATGAGTGGTGACGACAGCCGGGTCAAAAAATAGCTAAATTTAAAAGCTAGAAAATTATAAAAGTTCTGAAAATTCCTTTAAAATATAAAATTGCTTGCGTTATGACTGTGAGTATTTTTAATTAAGTACTATCCATTTGGATAATTCATTCTTATGAAAAAAGTAACCTTAATTTCAAAAATTAAATTCACTTTAATAATTTTCTAGCTTTTAAATATCTGATTTAGCTATTTAGTGGCCCGGCTGCCAACACCACTAATTTTTGTTTACATGTCGCCGCCTATGATAAAACTTAAATTTGGACTCTGTCAACCGAAAAAAGTTGAAAAATCCGAAATTTAAAAATCCACCATAAATCCAATTTTTTATGAATTTGGGCCATACTCGGCTTGTTTTGTCCGGAGGGATGTAAACTTTAAGTTTGTACCCATTATAATTTTTCAACGGATTTATTTCGAGTTTTTACGATACATACAGCCGACTTACAGAGGACCAAAAAACACATTTTTCATCTTTGTCAAGTTTCTGCGCTGCCATTACTTATCAAATCATATTGATCTGTATGGCAAAGTTAAGCTTTGATCTATTGACTTTAAAATAAAACTAAAACTGGCCCAATCGGGTGGATATTTGCCGAGATATAAGAAGAAATTCGAAAAAAGTCCGAAATTTAACATTTCAAACTTTAAAAAATCTTTAAAAAAAATATGTGCCATCGATAAAAAAATTAGTGCTATTTTCGTGATCTAGGGGTCCAAAACTAACAGAATTGGCCATCAATTGCTGGGGAGCATTTCGGTTGTAAACTAGTGTTTTTCGTCACAAATGTTGATATCAGAACTTTTATATGTTGAAGGTGCGATCGTCACTAGTTTTTTACCTCGTGTTTTTATTTGATACACTATGCAGCATCAAAAATTTATCTCGATGTGGGCTATATTTTTGGATTCGTTACGAATTCCCAAGTTAAACTGCGTTTTCCAAAAAGTTCCCAGAGCAA